CACCTCCACAGCAAGCTAGTCCACTAGTACAATGCAATGGAGGGTCTTGCATGCATACTATGTTGCACGGCAGAGACGGTTCCATCACCGTAGGTTAACCAAATGGATGATGTAAGGAACAGCCGAGATTTGGTTCAAATGAGTTGAGGTATCCAGACTGATTTCTGATTTCTGTACAGTATGGTTTTATTTCTTTGGAAGCAAACGCTTTGGCAAGATCAAACATATTCACTGTTGTTGTGCAACTTCAGGGTTCCCCGCAAGGCAGACGAATACGCGCAAGCAGACGAAGACGGCCTGTGCTGTGTGTTGGTATGCCCGGGTTCCTTAAAACAGCAAGTGTGAGCACCACACAGCCAGATTTGTAGATGAATTCAGATAAGTGTGTTGAGATACTTGAAACAGACTGTGTAACATTTCCACAGTCGCAGCTGTCATGTGCAATAGCATATCCATGCCTGTCACCTGCAGACGTCTTGGGCACGAGTTCAGACCAAAAAGATTTGGTGCTCTGACCGCATTGCATGGCGGTGTTTCGACTCGTTGTTTGATTGCCTCTTTGCTTTGATCCTACAGTGGTAGGCGGAGCCAGTGACGTTCGAGACTGGCCAACTATGACCCATGGTCAGTGCCTGGTGGAGATCCTTGGAGCCGAAATGCTGATGCATCAGCCAGAACTCCGGGATCATTTTACCCACCTTCTCGAAACCACAATGCGCACGGTGCTAGTCGGCCATCTCATGTTTCTGGTGCCTCCCTTCAACAAGGAGCTTCAGGTGTTTACATGGGATGTGCTGGGATGCCTTCAATGAGTCCACTGCCTCAGATGTCTATGATGGGAACCGCGCCTCATTCCATAGGAAAATTTGGACGGTCCGCTATTAATGCTTCACAGATGCATGCTGGTTTGAATTTTCCTCAAAGGAATTTTGCATCTCAAAGTTTTTCTGGAAATGAACCAATGCAAAATATGTCCGGAAACGAAATGCCTGGAAACGGGATGCCATCCTCGCCGACGAATGCGAGTGCGATGCCTTCTGCGATGCATGGTGCGAATGTGACAGTGAATGCTGCAGCGCAACCCGGCTCCAGCAGCTGTGGCCTAGCTGGATGCCCTTCAATGACTGCAGCCTCAGCCCTTAACCATTTGGATGCGTCAGCGATGCCTCCACCTGCACCCAATGTCCATAGTGTTTTTGAAATGTTGGGCAAAGCACCTGTTGTCAGTCCAATCCATGAGAAAGCTGACAAGGATGATGTGATGATGAAAGCCCTGGTCGCAGCGATCACTGGTGACAAGAAATCGCTTCCGTCCTGGAATGGAAGTGTTGGGACACTTCGTTGATGGCTACGGCAGCTTTCGTTGTGGGAGTTGGATAACAACCTTCCGAAGTCACGATGGGGGTTGAAACTGCTGCAATCATTGCATGAGGGTTCAGCTCCACGGCGTGTTGCCGAAACCATCGACCTTGCAACATTGACTTCAGAAGCTGGCTACAGCGCCATCCTTTCTGCCCTGATGTCGAAATATGCCCCATTTCTAGAAGCTTCAGGCCCAGCTGCAGTGGAGAACTTTTCTATGGTACCGAAAGGGCCAAAAGTGAAAGCTTTGCCACTTGTGTGGATTCCAAAGAAATTGCCTTACAGGAAATGGAGGGATACCTGGGTGAAAGGCTGCTGCCACGCATAGCGGGGCGAATCCTTCTACGTCACGCTGGGCTGAACGACTTTCAACGTGAAAGCATGGCTGTCAAACACAGCGCGCTGCTCACGTTTAACCAAGCAGCCGCAGCCTTGCGACCGTTGGACAGACCCGAAGCCCTGGTGACCCGAGTTGCCAAAACCTTTGTGACCACCACTGAACAAGATGCAGCCGATGGAGAACCTCAAGACGAAGATGGTGAGGAACTGCAACCGGCAGACAGAGGATGATCTGTCGGGACCTGAAAGTGATGGTCAGGACAATTTCACTTACCTGATGTGCGACCCTGACTATGAGAACGATGAAGAGGAAGCCAATTTTGTTTGGGCCTACAACTCTGCCTACAAGGATGTCCGAAAGGAGCTCCAAGCACGGCGAAAGGACAGACAGTTCTACAAGCCAAAGCCTGCAGTGGTAAAGAAAGGCAAAACTGAAGGTTCTGCAAACTTTGGCAAAGGCAAGGCCACTCTTCCTCGTCCTCAAAGACTAGCCAAGGTCGCGGACATGGCCACCGAGGCACACCAGAAGAGCTGATTTCAAGGCCCAGGTGTTTTTCATGTGGTCAGCTTGGCCACATCTCCAAAGAATGCCCCAAGAGAGCAGAATACTCAGCCAATTTCTTTGTTTGTCAAGGAAGTGCTGGCAACCAGAACAAGGTCTATGTCAACATTTCGGGAGACAAAGAAAAGAAGTTTTCAGTTTATACCGGCGTTAAGTGCAACAACGTATAAACCCTAAAGGTGTCGTTAAGTGCAACAACATATAAACCCTAAAGGTGTCGTGGCCCTTCTTACATTAAGTGCAACAACATATAAACCCTAACGGTGTCGTGGCCCTTCTTACATTAAGTGCAACAACATATAAACCCTAAAGGTGTCGTGGCTCTTCTTACATGAAGTGCAACAACATATAAACCCTAAAGGTGTCGTGACTCTTCTTAGTTTAAGTGCAACAACCTTTAAACCCTAAAGGTGTCGTGGCTCTTCTTACATTAAGTGCAACAACATAGAAATCCTAAAGGTGTCGTGGCTCTTCTGACATTAAGTGCTACAACATATAAACCCTAAAGGTGTCGTGGCCCTTCTTACATTAAGTGCAACAACATAAAGACCCTAAGGGTGTCGTGGCCCTTCTTACATTAAGTGCAACAACATATAAACCCTAAAGGTGTCGTGGCTCCTCTTACATTAAGTGCAACAACATATAAACCCTAAAGGTGTCGTGGCTCTTCTTAGTTTAAGTGCGACAACCTTTAAACCTAAAGGTGTTGTGGCTCCTCTTACATTAAGTGCAACAACATATAAACCCTAAAGGTGTCGTGGCTCTTCTTACATTAAGTGCAACAACATAGAAATCCTAAAGGTGTCGTGGCTCTTCTGGCATTAAGTGCAACAACTTAGAAATCCTAAAGGTGTCGTGGCTCTTCTGACATTTAAGTTCTACAACATATAAACCCTAAAGGTGTCGTGGCCCTTCTTACATTAAGTGCAACAACATATAAACCCTAAAGGTGTCGTGGCTCTTCTTACACTAAGTGCAACAACATATAATCCCTAAAGGTGTCGTGCCTCTTCTGGATGGCCACAGTGACCCTTTTTTGCTGAAAGTGAGTCCATTTATGCCTTAAGTGAGCCCAGATATGCCCTAAGTGAGCCCAGATATGCCCTAAGTGAGCCCATTTTATGCCCCAAGTGAACCTCGAAAATTTATGCCCTAAGTGAGCCCGAATTTATGCCCCAAGTGAGCCCCTCGCCGCTGCGAGACCCAGTGCCGCGACGACAGTCGCCTCCAGAGAAGTTGCTGGCTGCCTGGCGCCGAATGGTCCTGACCACAATGCGGCTCTACATGGAGATCATGCTGCAGTCCGTGACGGGCTACATCACCAGCCGCAACCGTGGCACTTTGGTGAAGATGCCAAAGGCCAAGAACAAGGACAAGACGCTGGCAGACCAGAGGAAGGCCTCAAAGGTCCGACGTGGCATCGGGCAGCCGTTGCCTCGATCCAAGGCTTGCAAGGATTGACCAAAAGAACCCTTGGAGTGTGCTCACGAAGAAGATCAGCTGAGACAAAGGGGTTCGAAAGACAGCTACTGGTGGACGTGCCTTCAATGTGGAAGTCGTTGGCAACGTTTGGAATGGGAGCCGGATCACGAGATCAACACTGAAGCGGCAGGAGATTTTCGTGGTTCAACCGCCACCGAAGTGATCCAGACAGCCTCCAAGTCTCCAAGGTGCCTTATCCAAGCCGACTGCCACACCACGCTCCAGACCAGATCTGAAGACTTTGGTTGTCGAGGAGAAGGCCAACACTGCAGCCCAAGGACCTTTGGACCCAATGGCGCCACACCGAGGAAGGAGGGCTATTTTTTCGTTTTTTGCTGTTCTTTTGTTTTCCAACCTGGCTTTGTGGCTTCTGTGGCTTTTGTGGGTGGGTGTGTGGCTTTTGTGGCTTTACCATGCTTTACCGATCTATCTGTTTATCTATCTATCTAATCTAACCTAATCTAGCCTAATCGAACCGAATCTAATCTAATCTTATCTCATTTTATCTTGTTTTATCTTGTTTTTCTGATCTATCTAATCTATCTAATCTACCAAATCTTCCAAACCTATCAAATCTATCTAATCCATCTAACCTATCTATTAACGTATGAATTTTATTTATCTATTTAATCTGTATATTTAGTCTACCTATTTAATCTGTCTATTGATTCTGTCTGTTTAACCTATCTGTTTAATCTACCTATTAAATCTACCTATTTAATCTACCTATCTGTCTGTCTATCTATCTTTCTATCTATCTATATTTCTATCTATATTTCTATCTAATCTAATCTCATCTCATCTCATCTCACCTCATCTCATCTCATCTCATTTAATCTATCTATCTATCTATCTATCTATCTATCTATCTATGCATCTGACTGACTATCTATCTGACTATCTATCTATCTATCTATCTATCTATGCATCTGACTGACTATCTATCTGACTATCTATCTATCTTTCTATCTATCTATATTTCTATCTAATCTATCTATCTAATCTATCTATCTATCTATCTATCTATCTATCTATACATGTACCTTACTCCAACCCTCAACAAACTTTGAATCGACCATAAACCAACCCTAAACAACCATAATTTGCCCTAAATAACATTAAATTTTCTAAACCAACCACAAACCAACCCAACACAACCCTCCCTAAATAAACCCGAAGCCAACCCTAAACAAATCCTAAACCAACCCTAAACCAGGCCTAAATAGACCTTAAATACCAACCCTAAATAGAGCTTAAACCAGCCCCAAATAAACCTTAAACCGAACCCAAACAAAGCCTACATGACCCTTAACCAACCATAAGCCAACCCTAGATAAACCCTAAACCAACCCTAAATAAATCTAAGCCAACCCTAAATAAAGCTTAAACCAACTGTAAATAAACCCTAACCCAACCTAAATAAACCCTAAACCAACCCTAAACCAAGCCTAAATAAACACTAAACCAGCCCTAAATAAACCCCAAACAAACACCAAATAAACCTTAAACCAAACTTAAACATAACCTAAATGACCCTAAACCAACCATAAACCAAGCCTAAATAAACCCTAAACCAACCCTAAATAAATTCTAAGCCAGCCCTAAATGACCCTAAATAAATCCTAAACCAACCGTAAATAAACCCTAAAATAACCCTAAATAAACCCGAAAGCAACCTTACATATACCCTAAGCCAACCCGAAATAAACCCTAAACCAGCCCTCAATCAACCCTAAACCAACCCTAAACCAATCCTAAATGATCCTAAACCAACCCTAAATAAACCCGAAACCTACCAACACTATGATAGCATCCAATGCCACTATTTAGACCCAACACGGTTGTGCTTCAACCTATATTCTACATGTTCACCAGGTGCATGTTATGCATGGAAAAATCGATCGAAACCATGGAAAAATCAATTGAAACAATGGAAAACTCAATGGAAACCATGGAAAAAATCGATGAAAACTTTGGGTAAATCAATGGGCACCATGGAAAAACCGGCTAAAACCATGGAAAAATCGATGAACAGTGCAAATGGCACATATTAGCTCCAAAATTCAGCAAAGTACAGGTTTTTCCTCCAAAATGTAGCAAATAGCAAGGAAAAGTGCCCCAGACTGAAAAACCAAAAAAAAAAAAAAAATTGCACTCCCAAAGGAAGGATGACACCAGCACCCATGCAGAGCGAAGAATCCATTGAACGGACCTCCCCAAGTGCCCGTGTTGCCAATGCCTGGCACCTCTGCGGTGACCGAGATGGCCGCCCAGGCCACGAAGGTCAAAGACGTGAAAACGGCTTTTCTTCAAGCCTTGCCGACCACTCGGGTCAAGCCTCCTGCATGCAGACTTCCCAAAGATGAGTGCCCGGAAGGACTGGACCCGCAGCAATTGTTGCTGCTTCTGACAGAGATCTATGGCCTAGTCACCGGACCGAGCTGCTGGAGGAGATCTTTACTCAAGACTGCCACATAGAAGCTGAACTATGAAGTGAACAGCTATGACAGATGCATCCTCGCACTTCCTGCGGAGGATTCCAAGCGTGGCTCACCCGGTGCTCTCACAGGAGGGTTCATTGTGATTGAGATCGATGACATTGCCGAAGCCGGAGGACCCCGACACCAGGAACAAATGAAGCAGCTGGAATCCATGTTCACGTTTGGAAAGGTGGGCTGTTTGCGATCTCAAGGAGGTACAAACTATGCCGGCCGCGACCTACGCCAGCTAGAAGACTACAGTTTTGAGATCACCATGGAGGAGTTCATCTACACCAGGCTGGAACCAATTCTTGGCCACAAGAAAGTGCTCAAAAAGCATGCTGCTAACACACAACTGTCAGAAAGTGAAAAGACGCAATAGCGAGGCCTGATAGCCTCCTTTAACTGGGTGTCGCGTGGGGGAAGACCTGATGCTTTTCAGCTGCCTCTATACTTGCATCATCGCTTACAAGCCCCACCATGGAACATGTGCACGCTGCAAAGGATGTGGTGAAGCACCTGAAGACGTTTCCAATGACTTTGCGGGTCCATGCAATCCCAGAAGACCAAGTGCGTTTGATTCTGATAGCCGACTCTGCTTTTGACACGAGTGGAAAGGAGAAATCTCAGCATGGTTGGTTGCTAGGCTTCACAAATCCAATGATGAATCCAGGGAAGCTTGCGCCAGTTTCCCTGATGCAGTGGAGATCCAAGCGGCTTCGACGAAAGGCCTCTTCATCCCTGCTGCGCGAAGCAATTTCGATGTCTGCAGCGACCGGAGCTTTGGAACGTTTGGATGCCTTTTTCCAAAGCATTAGCCTGTCTGAGATCAGTCCTCGAAGAAAGCTGCAGTCTGAAGACCAATACCTGGAAGCCTCTGGAAAAGCCACCGTCATTGCGAATGACTCCAGCACCTACCGAGATCCTCATGGTCTTTGTGTGATGGACGCGAAAAGCTTGTTTGACGCCTTGAACTCTGAACAGAGCCAGGGCGACGATGACAGAAGCGCGTTAGAAACTGCAATCATCAGTGAATCCTTGTCAGCTTGCCGTGGCAGACTAAGATGGGTCCCTCATAACATGAACCCAGCTAATTCAATGACTAAGTCTGTGGGTGGCCACCATGAACCGTTGTTGAAGCTGTTGCAAACCGGAAAATTCATTACTGAAGAGGTCGCGAGGCAAACAATCTGAACATAGGTTGAAAGCAAGCCAAACCAGCTGTCAGACTCCTTGGAAACAGAATTTTTTGGGGCTGAGAGACTTGAAGCAGACTGTGTAACATTTCCACGGAGTCGCAGCTGTCACGTGCAACAGCATACCCATGCCTGTCACCTGCAGACGTCTTGGGCACGAGTTCAGACCAAAGAGATTTGGTGCTCTGACCGCATTGCATGGCGGTGTTTCGATTCGTTGTTTGATTACCTCTTTGCTTTGATCCTACAGTATAATTTACGTACATAAAAGCAAGTTTGTTTGTATGCTACCATATGGTGATCGATCTGAAGGTCCTTGTAAAGAGTTTTAATTGCGAAGACTGTTCATGTTATGTTGGGAACCCTCGCGAAAGATTTTTTTGAGTTCGCGAAAGTAATTGTTTTATTCGCGAAAGTTTCGCGAAAGTTGGATATTATCAATCATTGTATATCTTGTAAAGGGCTACCACCCCCTGCCGCCCGGGGATCCGGCAGGAGAAGGGTAGTCGGCTTGGTTCTGGTTCAGTTCACTGTGTGGCGATGTACTCCGGACATTTACCTTCCCTTCATAGCTTCCAAAAGTGAGGCTTCGCCACAGCCAAACGCCATGGTCATGAAGCGCATCCTTGCACCTGCCGCTGGTACTGCCTAATGTTTCTTTCTGAAGTTTCAAGAAACAAGCTCCAAATGCAGCAGCCAAGCTTCCAAATGTGAGGCTTTGCGAGAGCCAAGCACCAAGGCCCCTGGTATTTGTTTTTCCTCTGATGTGCCTTCTGCTGATGGCTGGGGTCTGCGGATAGGGATCCCCGTTGAAATTTCCACTATGATTTGGTGGGCCTTGAGGCCCTTATAAACTGGATTTCATGGGGCCATTTTATAGTGAAATTAGGTCAAATACACTACCATTTTATAGTAAACCACCTCAAACACCCCTGAAAGTTATAGACCGGTATTTTTTGTAGAGAAAACCCTACCATATTGTAAGAATATGATGAGATATCCAAGAGCCATTTTGTAGAGAGATATGTAGATATACACCACTCATTCAAGTATGTTTTGGCCAAGTTCACACATGTATACATATGCCATTTTGTAGAGTCCCACATTGTGTAGGGAAAACTTTTCTCAGAACAAAGCTTGTCCGGCAGCATTTGGCTTTTTTTTCTGCTCAGCGTTCCACCTCGCAACCATGGAATGAGGAAGGCTACCGAGGGATAAACAAAATTGAACTAGCATCACACTTCTACAATCTTCTACATATCTATATCTACCACTACAGAATGGAGGGGTAGCCAGAATGACCTAAAAGTTGGCAGGGCACACCAAACTAGAGTATGACAAAACTATGGCGTACTGTACAGGTACACATGTATAGGATACACATATGCAAAGGTCATAGGAAATAAATGGATATTAAATAAATATATATATACTAGGTAATGGAAAAAATGGAAAATCTATGAACATCCCCTTCCATTTTGTAGGACGGTTGATGCAGCATCACTGTCAAAAGGACGGTTGATGCCTACAAAAAGGTATCTTTCTACAAAATGAATGGTATGGGAAAAGCATTTCTGCGCATTATCAATTGTTTCTGAGCCTTCAGGGGTACACCCTATCTTTGGTGAAGCTGGTTCAGTGGTGAAAATTTGGCATCTACAAAATGCTATTGCTTTTTGGGGCATTAAGGTTCAGATTGTGCCCTACCATTTTGTATCCAAGCAAATTCTTGGTGCCCATCCATTTTGTAGGCTTTTTTCAATGCCCCCCATTCTGTGTCTATAAAAGGGGGGGTCTGACCCCATGGGGCTAATTTCAACGGGGATGGATAGGGATATTTTCGCGAAAGTTCTGCGAAGGAGCGGGCGAAAGTCCAAGTGCATTTTGAAGGGGGTTGGCTCGTAAGTTTTGTGCAAGAAAACGCGCAATCAGCAACCATCTGTCCTGAGAAGGGACTCGGTGATGCTAGCTGCATGTTTGCCAGGCTATCATTAGGTGATCGGTGGTGATTGGGCATAATTGGGCAGGTGATAAGTGAATCTTCACAAAAGGAACTGTTTCCCAAAATGGGACCCGCGAAAGATAAACATGGACTTCGCGAAAGTTTCGCAAAAGTAACTTTTTATTCGCGAAGAATGGTCGTTCCAGGATAAAAGAGTTTTGCCCAACAACCATATATATATACATACATAATATACTCGCAAAGGTGGAAAAAATTGCGTCTGATTTGATTTGCACTGTTTATGAAGTTGGGCACCGATTTAGTTGGAAATTTCCGTTCAGTCCTGAGTCAAACACATTTTGTGCTTTCCATTGATCCATTTGGTGGAACTCAGGGTGTCACGGGCCAAGGCAAGGTGGCAGCTGGCCACGTCCTCTACAATGACGAGGCCCATGTCAAATTTTAAAATGCGCCTGTGACATCCTCCTGTAATGCAGTGCTAAAGAACCCACATGATAGGTTATAGCCAGATATAGCCAGCAGACTTTGCCTGTGAGGTGACACCAGATGCAGAAAAGTCATTTTCTCAGCAAGTTTCTGGACATGTTGCAAGTTCCACTACACTGTGATAATGTCGAGCTGTGCTGCGATGAATCTTTGATCAATGTTGAAAGTGCCCAAAGCCAAGAGATGTGAAGCAAACCCAGCTGTGGTCAGCTGTGCGTGTGTGAGAAAGGTTGCGCCTTGCTGTTTATTTCAGTCCTATGGCGCTGTGCAATGCTGTGCAATGCTGTGCAATGCTGTGCAGGTTGCAGCAAAGCTGCATCTCTGGAGAACACCATTCGATCCTTGGAGATCGCGAGAAGTGCAGAGGAACTTTCAAGGACGTTCAGTCGGACGACCCAAGAAAATCACACAGCGAATCATTTGGAAGGATCTCGCACAATGTGTCACAATATATCAGGTGGAATAAAGAAACAATTTGATGAATTGATGTGTTGAGCTGCGGATGGCATGCAAATCAGATGATGCACAAAACTTCGATGCTTCCAGGAAATTGTGATCTTTGATGCAGACCAAGCAGACACCTCAGGGTATCTCAAGGTCATATTTTCGAGATGCGCCAGTGATTCATACAGCAGATCTATGGTTGCAAATTCCATTCGGGATGATTTGTCGCTTGTGCATAGCTTTTGGATACCTTTGGATTCATGTTTTGGACGAATGGAGAATACTTGGGCAAAACTTGGCTGTGCTACTTGCTGCATTATTTGCCAAGTTATTTGATGTGGTTCTTGTGAGCCTGATAGGAAATGATGCAGTTCCAAGTAAAAGGTACAAACGATACGGGTTTCACATGTTTTTGCTGGTTATTTGATGGTCTTTGTATATTATTTGTAATGCCGCAGTTATACAGTTATACAATGTGATTGCCGCAATCATTTTTCAACAGTCATTTGGATTTGTTTTGCGCAAAGGTCTACGTTGAATATGCCTTGTTTTACAAGCGGCAGTACGCCTGAATGAGCAGTACACCTGAATGAGCGGTACGCCTGAATGAGCGGTACGCCTGAATGAGTTTGCACCAATCTGCTGGAAAAAGTTGCGGTTGCCATGTTTTTGCCTTCGATTGCCTTCTGCATGGATTCGGAGTTCAGAAATCTGATGGCCATACCATGGATCGCATGTATCGGAACCAACTCCGAAGATGAAAGACAAATACACTTTGACATGATTGGAAGTGGATGTCGGACATTTATGTCCACAGGGCTTGTGAGGTTGTTTGTGCTCAGGTCACACTATTCGCTTGGTTCGGATGCTTCTGCACGCTTGTGCAGAACTTAACATGCTCGCCACCACATTTTTCGATGTACCATCGCTCCTGACAAGTTGAAACCTCACCAGATCGCATTGGGGCATTTCGTTATTTCATGTGATGCTGTGCCACGGTTGTGCTGCCTCAATATTTAGCACACATATATCCTGGCTTTGCTCATGCTGGGAAGACATTGGGAAGCCCTCTTGCTGCGCTTTGTTGTACGCAGAGTGTTGGTTGCTTTCTTGAGGTTCTGTTATGGCAGCATTTGTGAGATTTGCTTTCCGAGCATGTCGAGTCTGTAGAGTTTCACTTTTTTCAGTGCGGCAGCAGATTTCGCCATACAACACAGGCCAAAGAAGTGAAGTGACAAAGACAAACCTGTCTGTCAATTGACAGTTCCCTCAGGAGAGAAATGTGCAGGTGCAACATGGTGCAACCAGAAGGCTGTGGGGTTTGGATTACGTGGAAATGAAAGGAAGGCGCCCTGATTCACTGAAGCGCACTTTTGAGGGGAATCGCTGCCTGTCTATGCCTTTCTTGTTTCATCTTGTTTACCTGTGCGCATCCGCAGGGTTTGGCTGTGGAGATGTCACCAGTAATTTCACCCGTAAACCTTAGTGCCTCTACTTGGAGTCATCTGACAACATGTTGCAGATTATGACAACATGTTGCAATAGCAATTGTTGGCAAATCCAAACTGTTTGGCATAAGTTGCGGAGCATCACCGCGGTTGTATTGCCTCTGCTGCGAAAAGGGCGCTGTGGTGGTGCCCTGTCAGCTGTTGAGGACCTGTCTTCGATCTCTGTATTTGGTGTCTGGTAGTCTTGTACAGGGATTCTGTCTTTGCTGAATTGCTTTTGTGTCAAGAGCTTGCACAGGAGCTGATTGCACAAGGATTCACTGCAAATACAGCTTTGTATAGCTTTGTTGCATCCGAGTTGAGAGCCAAAGTTGCGCTTCCTCCGCCTGCTGCCATGACCGACAAGGAGCTCTTGTATTTGAGCCGCTTGTATCAAAGATTTTTGCCAAGTTTTTCGGTCTTCGCCAGAGCCCACGCTGGGTGAGTAAACTGAAAACGTCGAAAGAAGCCAAAGTCGCGCTGTGAAGCAAAGGTGAGCCAGAGTCTGAAGAAGAGGAAGGCTCTGACCTGCCTTTCTTCATCCAATATCCGCGCTCAGCAAACCTGCCACTTGTCAGATCTTGTCAGTGTCACTTTTGAGCTGTGCACCTGTGATCAGAATCTTGGATGGTGTTGGAGCGCGAGTTGCATGCTGGATGCTATCGTCAGTTGCACTTGGACGCAAATACCTGGGACATCCTGGGACTGACATAGCTGCAACCAGATGAACCACAGTGCCAGTGCTTATTTTGTATGAATATGATTATGTTGATTATGTTTGAATGTTGTGAGCATCGATGTGCATCGCAAGTTGCATTTTCGTCTTGGAATTGGTTCGTATGTGTGTTGATTTTGTCCTGATTACCATGCATTGGCAAAGACTTTGGGCCAAAAGTATTGTAGGGCTTCGCACCCCAGAGGTGCCCCCAGGGTTGCTGTATGTTGCTGTTGTTGCCCAGAATGTCGCCCGATTGCTCTGTTGTTGTTGTTGTTGTCATTGTCATTGTCGTTGTCGTTGTTGTTGTTGTTGTTGTTGTTGTTGTGGTTGTTGTTGTTGTTGTTGCTGGTGTTGTTGTGGTTGTTGTTGTTGTTGTTGTTGCTGGTGTTGTTGTTGTTGGTTGTTGGTTGTTGGTTGTTGTGGTTGTCCTTGTCTTTGTCCTTGTCCTTGCCGTTGCGGTTGCGGTTGCTGCTGCTGCTGTTGTTGTAGTAGTTGTTGTTGCTGTAGTTGCTGGTTGTTGAAAAACAACAAGACAATTACCCCGTGAAGTCCTCTTGTGTCTTCAATATTCTAGACTCTAGACCCTATTACAATGACCCCATTGTTGTTTCTAACTCCCCGAACAACCATGTTGTCCACGGGGTATTTGTCATAGTGTCTTGAAGGCCCCCCCCAAACAACAACAACAACAACAACAACAACAACAACAACAACACCAACACCAACACCAACAACAACAACAACAACAGCAACAACAACAACAACAACACCAACACCAACACCAACACCAACACAACAACACTAAGGACAGGTTGGACTTTAATTTTAGGTCATTTTCATCAAAGCTTGGCAATGCACTTCGTTCATTTTTCTTGTTGCCGGAGCTCAGTTTGGGTCTTCTTTGGACCCAGGCCGTTTCATTGGGACAGAAAAAAGAAAGGGCTGGAAATGTTGATTGCCCAAGTTTTCGATAACAATGCTCAGAAACCAGCACCAAGAACAAACATTTTGTTCAATCTCGCAGGATCTGGAAAATGGAAATTTGACTCATCTAGATACAAGGCAAGGAAATGCAACAACAGAGACTTGCATCTTGCCCGGAACCACAACTCTACTTGGATGGCCCGCGGGTTTGCTAACCTTTATGCATTGGATAACCACATTGTAAGCTATTTACAACTAGGTTAAAGTAATTTATACGTAGCTTGAAAAAGTTTCCAACCGCCCTTTGCCACACCGAAACAACACACAGCTGAAGGACGAAGCCCGCTTACCGCCAGAAGCTGCCAGTGCCTAACCTCACCTTCTGAAACGTCAAGAAGCAAGCTCCAAAATGCAGCTGCCAGGCCTTCAAAACGCACCTTTCGCCACACCGAAATATCACCCAGCTGAAGGACGAAGCCCGCTTACCGCCAGAAGCTGCCAGTGCCTAACCTCACCTTCTGAAACGTCAAGAAAGAAGCTCCAAAATGCAGGTGTCAGGCCTTAAAATGCACCCTTCGCCACACCGAAACACCACCCCTGAAGGATGAATTGTGCTTGCCGGCAGAAGCCACCAGTACCTAACGTCACCTTCTGCAGCCCAGCAAGCGGCTTCCAGCGCCTAACGTTTGTTTTCATTCACTAGCTGACTCGTACTGTATTGGCTCGGTAGTTTAGTAAGTGGCGCGCCAGTACTCACGCGCAGGGGCCAGGCTCTATTCACTGTCGGCCCATCCTTAGACCCTGAGCGGAGCAGCTCCACTGTGTACTTGCGATTTGGGAGTATCGCCATTATCTGCCAAGATTTATTAATTAATTATTTTTGTGTGCAACGAAGCAGTTCGAAATTTCTCTGTCATTGCCCAACACACCAGGCTGCTGGTCATTCTCTACGCCGGAGTTGGAATACTCTACTTTGTGACCGTATTAGGCTGGTCGCCTGAGACTTCATTCTATGCCGTGGCGCAAATTCTCACCACGGTGGGTCAGAGACTTGGAATCAGCCGGGTAGAAGATTTACAAGTTACAAGGTGGATTGACACTATATTATCGAAGGAAGTTTCGAAGTTAAACTTCCGACAGTATCATGGACCGATGGAAAAGCAGAGGTGCGAAGAGTCAGAGAAGAGAAGAGAATAGAAAAGAAAGAAGAAAGAAGATCAGAGAGAATCAGAGAAGATCAGAGAAGATCAGAGAAGAGAAAGAGAAGAGAAGAGAAGAGAAAGAGAAGAGAAAGAGTCAGAAGAAAGAGTCAGAAGAAAGAAGCTGCAGGAGCGCCAAAAGGTAGAAAAGCCGCGAATGACTGTGTGTTCCCAATGATTTGTAACTCAGGAGGGTCGAAAAGTAGGCTCGCTAAAGCGGCGGGTGCGGAGCCATCTGGTCAGCTGAGAGATGAAAAATTGCTTGCCATTGTGGTGCGAAGCACATTTTGAAGTCAAAATGCTAAAAACACAGCATTGTCAGAGCATTTTTTGGAAGTTCAGATGTCGAAAAAGTGCACGCCGTTGTGGCGCGAAGCAGATTCAAGAGCCAACCTGTGAAAAACACAGCAGCTTCGGAGCATGTTTGGAAGTTGAGATGTTGAAAAAGTGCACGGCGCCGTGGCGCGAAGCACATTTCCAAGTAAGAAATATACGTATAAAACACCTCAGGTCTGGAGCGCTTTTGGAAGTTGAGCTGTTGAAAAAGTGCACGCCGTTGAAGTCCAGATGTGGAAAAAGTGCGCGCCGCTGTGGCGCGAAGCACATTCGCAAGTCAAAAGTGTTAAAAAACCGAGGGTCTCCCGCCACTTTGAAGTCAAGATGTGGAAAAAGCGGACGGTGCTGCGGCGCGAAGCACATTTGCAAGTCGAAAGTGTTAAAGACTGAGGGTCTCGGGCCACTTTTGGAAGTTGAGATGTCGAAAAAAGTTCCCGTCACTGTGCAAAGCGCATTTCCAATTCAAAAGTGTGAAATTAACACTGACGGTCTCGGAACAGGTTGGGACGTTGAGATGTCGAAAAAGTGCACACCACTGTGGCGCGAAGCACGCTTCTGGAAGTTGAGATGTGGAAAAAGACAGATAGACAGGCAGACAGACAGACAGATAGATAGACAGACAGAAAAATACGTAGACAAACAGATAGAAAGACAGCTCCATAGATAGACACACAGAGCGAAGGACAGAGGAATAGACAAGATAATAGCCCGACACCCCCATCGGTGGGTTTACTCTGCCATCCATGCATCACAACAATTCACTGCTCCTATAGTGTCGTATCTTTGGAACTTGCGCCACTGCCTTGTGCGGTACTGCTGGTATGTGTGTATCTATACAGATGCAGCTTAGCCTACACAGAGGCGCATAGACATATATATATATATAGACATGCGCACACTTGCACGCAAGCACGAAACCTCCGTAAGTTTCACGCAATTTAACGGAAGACACGTAAGCTCGCCCTCCGCGCGTATATTATAACATTACATAACTCCTCCAATTCCCTCCGAGGTCCAAACATTATAAACCTAGCCCAGCTGCTGCTGGACAGCAAAAATACTGTAGAAATTTGGCAGAACACAAGAAGATGTCCAAAGTAAGCTAATGACATTTTGACGGGATTCAGAAGGACTGCGACAGCATCCGCGACAATGGCACCCAAAAACTCTTTACGAAAACAAAGCGAGTGAAAGTACACAAAACGCAGGAAGTTAGAACAACACAGCCCTGATCCAGTATCCCATCCAAGATCGTAGCTCCCTTGCACGCGATAGGTCGCGGATGCTGCGTGCTCCTGCCAACGTCTTTTATCTTTCCAGATGGGTCACACACACACACAGGCACGTGCGTGGCTTCCATTCCCTGAGAATGAAAGTTTGCGATTCCGTAGAGAGGGCCTCCGCTGCGAAGTCAAGAACAGCATGGCTGTCAGGCAAACCGAAGGTAAAAAGACATGCCTATAGGCCTGCAAGGGTGTAGAACTGTTTCCAGACTGCATCGGAATTCAAGAAAAATTGCAGCTGTTTCAGGGCAGCAAAGCTTGAGCAGAGTTGAAGTGTCCGGCTTTTTTTGGTCATCTTCAAAAAGCATGTAAGCACCAATCTTAACGAGAAAAGGCTGGCAACGGCAAGGTGGATTGGTGCCCTTTACCTTCAAGAATTACCCAAGAAAAGTGTGCAGTGCGGACAACGATCAAAAAAATGACCAAGTGGGAACTCCATGGGCGGTTGGCTTGCCCGCTTGCCACAGCAGAAAATCCGATCCAAACGCGTTTGCACAGCAACTTAGATGGCTCTTCATGGCCCATGCCGTCCCAGTGCGGAGTGAGAAATATTTGATATTTTAGTATGTTCTGTTCAGAAAACACCCCACGTACCCATTCCTACCCATTTCTACCCATTTCTGTTTCCTTGGCCCCACATTGTCTATACAATGCTGGGCCCTGGGCCTTCCTCCCGCGAGCGTTGACGCACTATAGCAGCCAGCTGCGTCATTTGTTTGTTTGCGTGCCTGTCTTGAATACGGGCGCACGTGAGCACACTTTTTTCACTTTTTAGTACAAGCACGCGTAAATATATGTTTGCTGCGTAGCAGATGCTGTACTTGTAAACTGATTGTAGCATATTGTAGCGATTCCCCCAAGGTAGCAGGGTTTTGGATGTCTATTGGCAGCTTTGATACCACTGTTTCGCGAGTAGCCGAACCGGTGATTTTTCTCAGGCTATGGAGACTTGCCTTTTGGCGAAGTCAAAGGTTTCGTGACTGCCTACGTGTTGGTCGGGTTGGCAATTGTGGCAAATGTCATGAACGACATTTTCAACGAAGTGCTGCTTCTCTGAAAATGCGCGCAGACACGGAACTGCCAGGGTTGTAATTTTAAATGGATGCTTTGGCCAGAACCTCATGGCCTATCAAGATATCAAGGATCTTGGCCACTGAACTTGATCATATTTAGTGTGCAGTGACGCCCAAGCGTCGTGAGGCTGAACTCAGCAGAAGACCAATTCTCCAAGAATGTACATCGAGCAGGGCATTTTCTGAATGCTGACTCCGACTCAGACGCAGCGCCGGCCCACAGCAGGAGGCTTTGAATGTTGGCAAGCGGAATCCCAACAATGCGAGAGCGTGGAGCGAGCGATTGTGTGTGTGTGCCTGTGTGTTTTTCTTTTTGATTAGTTAAAGAAAGATATGGGCCAGCATCTTTGTCCAGGTGTGCGCAATGGAGAGACCTTTTACACGCTTTGCTCACCTATATCTTCCTTGTATGTGCTTGGGTGCTTTTTTTCCGGAACTATGACCCGTGGCAGATAGTTATATTTGCATTGTTTCATGAAATCCCTGACCAGGCACTGTTACAGAAAGTTGAACGCATTGTTTTGCTTCGGCTTCCTTGGAACTAGTATCATTAATTGAATCATCAGGAGGCGTGCTCGTGTTCATACGGAATCACTGGAGTTGAAGACTGTGACCTTGAGCGGTGTGTTGACACTGGCGGCTCAACCCTGAGCTATAGAGAAGCAGTCTACGAGGACGTTGGGGCTTGCAGAGCATGCAGAATGATAGGATGTTTTTTCGATGATGGTTCTGTAGCAATTGGGCATTTGCAAGGAAGCTTCCGAGTTACAAATGCATTGAGACATGTCGGGGCCGCAGCATTCTTAGAAGGGTAACTGCGCCACGCAGGTTGCAGATCATCTTCAGGTTCTGCCTTGGATCAACAGCGACCAAGTTAGCCCGCGCATGTTTCAGGGGCTCGGTGGGTCATGGTTGGATGCGCTCGCCCTGTCACACGGCAGTGCATCGGTGCGTTCTGCTAGCGCGGCTTGACAACGCGAGCGCCGAAGCCCCTGCAGGTTTGTGTTGGCGTTGCTTGCTTGACACAGAGGAAGCTCAAAGAGGCCACGATGCACCGTTTGTCTCCAGTTTGGGGCACTCTGGCTCCGGGCAGTAGTAAGGCCGTTGCGGGTGGAGAAACTTAGGTTGTGAAATGGTGTTAGGAAAGACGCGGACAACATTATTGCCAACTGTGTATAATGTTCTTGCTGGGCGTTCATCGTGGGGCGGGGGGACCATCTGACGCTTTTGCTATAGTGGCTTCACGATGGCGTCGACAATTCCTGCGCAAAGATGCTTTATGACTGATTTCTGTCGCTTGGCGTGCAACCCCTGGGCCAGCTAGAAGATTCTTCCCTTTGAAGCGACCGCCGCAGATTGTCTTGGTACTAGTGGTAAGATATTTACCACTGGAAACAACCGCCCCAAGTTGTCCGGGTACTAGTGCAAGCTTTTAGTGCATTTTTACAGCCTGCTGCTTGCTGCTTGTAAGCGTCAATGTTTAGCTGAAGCCTGCGAATTGGCCGAAGCTTACTCTTGCCCGCTGCTTGCTCCTGGAGGCCGTTATAACTTTTGCAACTGTTGGTTTTGGCGATTACTCACCAAAATCACGGCTTGGCAGAGTTTTGGGAGGCATCCTCATGATTTTCGGGGTGCTGGCATTTGCCACCCTTGTCCCGCGGATTCGAACACGGGAAGCTTGTTTTTAGAAGAAAGCACGGGAAAGATTTTTGCAAGAGTTAAAAAAGGACTCATGGCCAGGAGCCGGACATCCAGGCGATGATGACAGGTTTTGATTAGTCTTCAGCCCTTGCAGTACATGTTTGATAGGCAAGATTACAGGAAAATAGGGAAGCGACTAGACATGCGGCATCCAATGTTCAAGAAACAGCCACAAGACCAAGCGAAATGTTTGACCACACAGAAAGTTTCTTGTGTTTTGAAAGTGCGGGCACCAGCACCTGTCAGCCTGAAACTGATTTGGTTCAAGGTCGGAAGCATAGCATCTCTACTCGACGCATTCAAAGATTCCTACAAGAAGAAGCTCCGGGTATCACCGCAAGTCTTCCACGCAATTGATTTGAATGGAAGTGGAGTTCTCGGCAAAGGAGAGTTTCGGTCATACATGCTTCTGCGAGAGGGAAAGGCCGGGGGTTCAGCAAGCCAGCGTGT